CCATTCCTCCTCTGGATCATCCAGATGGTCATTGACAAACTTCAGACGGGCCTGGACATGCGCTGGCTTGAGCAGGGGAACCTTGCGTGCGCTGCAGGATATTAATCCATGACGGCGTAGTGTGTTACTAATGGTTTTCTTTGAGACTGTGGTCCCAGCTCTCTTCAGCTCATTGACCAGGTCCTGCCGTGTAGTTCTGGCCTGATCCCTCACCTTCCTCATGATCATTGATGCCCCACGAGGTGAGATCTTGCATGGAGCCCCAGACTGAGGGTGATTGACCATCATCTTGAACTTCTTCCATTTTCTAATAATTGCGCCAACAGTTGTTGCCTTCTCACCAAGCTGCTTGCCTATTGTCCTGTAGCCCATCCCAGCCTTGTGCAGGTCTACAATTTTATCCCTGATGTCCTTACACAGCTCTCTGGTCTTGGCCATTGTGGAGAGGTTGGAGTCTGTTTGATTGAGTGTGTGGACAGGTGTCTTTTATACAGGTAACGAGTTCAAACAGGTGCAGTTAATACAGGTAATGAGTGGAGAACAGGAGGGCTTCTTAAAGAAAAACTAACAGGTCTGTGAGAGACGGAATTCTTACTGGTTGGTAGGTGATCAAATACTTATGTCATGCAAAAAAATGCAAATTAATTACTTAAAAATCATACAATGTGATTTTCTGGTTTTAGATTCCGTCTCTCACAGTTGAAGTGTACCTATGATAAAAATTACAGACCTCTACGTGCTTTGTAAGTAGGAAAACCTGCAAAATCGGCAATGTATCAAATACTTGTTCTCCCCACTGTATATATTTCAAAATTTGAGGTAGGCTATATGATCACACCGGTAATAGATCCGTTGTTGTATGTCTTGTGAGGCACAGCTGAGTGAGTATACATTTTAAATCATTTGCTTTTAATTTTAATTTTAATGGGCTTATGGTGCCTGCATCTGATGGTCAGTCTCAGCTGAGGAAGAGAGCAGCAGATTGTGAGGGACCGCCTCTCAATATCCCTCCTCTCTCCCTTTCCTCCACTGACACTGACCAAAAAGGGACACCGTCTTCCAGCTGATGGAGAAACTTGAGATGTCACCGCATTATTTCTGCCTCAAGCACAAATTCATGTTACTCCTATAGAAAAGTGAAATATTCCTCGATATTAAAAAATACCCAAGCCGCTAATAATAACAGCGCAAGCCTATAGGTACACTTTCCTACTCATTCATTACTGCTGCAGTGCTTGCTGTAGCGCTGAGTGGAAATAGGAAGAACGCACATTTTATGGTTTATAAAAGTGTTGAATACAAAGTGTTGACAGTGCTGAGTAAGAACTTAAACATGAACTCACTCATAAAAACAGCAGCTCTTTGATGAATTCGTTTACAGTCTCTAGTCATGGTTTTAAACATTTTGAACTCCCACGGTATCAACTTTGCTGTAGCTTTCTTTTATGCCTGCTACGTTACTGCAGACACGGTAATCTGAGCCATCCGATTGGCTAGTGGTGGGCCTATAGTGCACTTGATTTGCTCTCTGGGCCCACCGGGAAGGCAGAGTATGTACCTTCAGACACATTAAATGGTTGAAAATGGCAACAGTTGGCCTACCTGGCGTGCAGGACAGCTGAATCAGGTGCAGCTACCGCCAACAGCCCGGGACAAAAAAATTATAGGGACACAAGGCTTTATCGTTGTTTTTTTTTACAGAAATGTTTGGCGATTGACTAGGAATGCCTTGGAGATCGACGTGACCGCTGCTCTAGAAAGTTGAGTGAAGTTAAATCGCGTGCTTCTCTCTCTGGGCTGATTTCTGCGCAGCGGTCCCGGGGAGCTGCGTGGCAGTCTCGGGGCTACTGCGTATGCGCAGCTTAGAGGAGGGAACATTGTCTGTGGCATTGTGTTGTGTAACAAAACTGCACATTTTAGAATGGCCTTTTATTGTCCCCAGCACAAGGTGCACCTGTGTAATGATCATGCTGGTTAATCAGCTTCTTGATATGCCACACCTGTCAGGTGGTTGGACTATCTTGGCAAAGGAGATATGTAAACAACATGAAATAAGGTTTTTGTGTGTATGGAAAAATTCTGTGATTTTTATATTTCAGCTCATGAAACATGGGATCAACACATGTTGCATTTATATTTTTGTTCAGTATACATGTTTTTTGTTCAGATGTACAGTGAGGGAAAAAAGTATTTGATCCCATGCTGATTTTGTACGTTTGCCCACTGACAAAGAAATTATCAGTCTATAATTTTAATGCTAGGTTTATATGAACAGTGAGAGACAGAATAACAACAAAGGAATCCAGAAAAACGCATGTCAAAAATGTTATAAATTGATTTGCATTTTAATGAGGGAAATAAGTATTTGACCCCCTCTCAATCAGAAAGATTTCTGGCTCTCGGGTGTCTTTTATACAGGTAACGAGCTGAGATTAGGAGCACACTCTTAAAGGGAGTACTCCTAATCTCAGTTTGTTACCTGTATAAAAGACACCTGTCCACAGAAGCAATCAATCAATCAGATTCCAAACTCTCCACCATGGCCAAGACCAAAGAGCTCTCCAAGGATGTCAGGGACAAGATTGTAGACCTACACAAGGCTGGAATGGGCTACAAGACCATCGCCAAGCAGCTTGGTGAGAAGGTGACAACAGTTGGTGCGATTATTCGCAAATGGAAGAAACACAAAATAACTGTCAATCTCCCTCGGCCTGGGGCTCCATGCAAGATCTGTCCTCCCGAGTGGCGCAGTGGTCTAACGCACTGCATCGCAGTGCTAGCTGTGCCACTAGAGATCCTGGTTCGAATCCAGGCTCTGTCGTAGCCGGCCGCGACCGGGAGACCCATGGGGCGGCACACAATCCACCTCGTGGAGTTGCAATGATCATGAGAACGGTGAGGAATCAGCCCAGAACTACACGGGAGGATCTTGTCAATGATCTCAAGGCAGCTGGGACCATAGTCACCAAGAAAACAATTGGTAACACACTACGCCGTGAAGGACTGAAATCCTGCAGCGCCCGCAAGGTCCCCCTGCTCAAGAAAGCACATATACAGGGCCGTCTGAAGTTTGAGTGAAAGTGTTGTGGTCAGATGAGACCAAAATGGAGCTCTTTGGCATCAATTCAACTCGCCGTGTTTGGAGGAGGAGGAATGCTTCCTATGACCCCAAGAACACCATCCCCACCGTCAAACATGGAGGTGGAAACATTATGCTTTGGGGGTGTTTTTCTGCTAAGGGGACAGGACAACTTCACCGCATCAAAGGGACGATGGACGGGGCCATGTACCGTCAAATCTTGGGTTAGAACCTCCTTCCCTCAGCCAGGACATTGAAAATGGGTCGTGGATGGGTATTCCAGCATGACAATGACCCAAAAGACACGGCCAAGGCAACAAAGGAGTGGCTCAAGAAGAAGCACAATAAGGTCCTGGAGTGGCCTAGCCAGTCTCCAGACCTTAATCCCATAGAAAATCTGTGGAGGGAGCTGAAGGTTCGAGTTGCCAAACGTCAGCCTCGAAACCTTAATGACTTGGAGAAGATCTGCAAAGAGGAGTGGGACAAAATCCCTCCTGAGATGTGTGCAAACCTGGTGGCCAACTACAAGAAACGTCTGACCTCTGTGATTGCTAACAAGGGTTTTGCCACCAAGTACTAAGTCATGTTTTGCAGAGGGGTCAAATAATTATTTCCCTCATTAAAATGCAAATCAATTCATAACATTTTTGACGTGCATTTTTCTGGATTTTTTGGTTGTTATTCTCTCTCACTGTTCAAATAAACCTACCATTAAAATTATAGACTGATCATGTCTTGGGGGCAAACGTACAGAATCAGCAGGGGATCAAATACGTTTTTCCCCTCACTGTATGTTGAATAAAACTACAGTTATGCATGTTATGCATCTAGCCATGGTGCCTTTACCAAGATTAGAAACAATTAGAAACCTCTCTACTCTCTCCAATATGTTTTGAGTGGACAGGTAGTCATTGATGCAGAGAGACAAGAATAAGATCAGAGTTGAGGGATATCATGGATAGAAGACCTACAAATGCAATCAAATGAGGGACAAGAAGATGACTATTGGGCGACCACTCATGTGTTTTTGGGTGGGAGCAGTGTCATATTGTTGTCCTTCTTTCATCCAGGTGATTCCATTTTTTGGTCCACCACCTGTACCTTTTGTAATACACAGTAGAGAGGGAGATTTGAAACTGTCTTCAGATAGGCTTTAGGAAGACAAGTTGAACTAATGAACAAGAATAGCAGTACAGCAAATGTAATTCAGCTTTCAGATAATTCATTGAAAGTTGTGTGTTTTTATGGTCCTTGTGCATGGCATCTTATACACAGAGGGCCGATGTGGGTCAGGTTTTTGTTCTAACCAAGCAATAACACACCTGATTCAAGTGTATGATAAGTTGATTAGTTGTGTATTGGTTGGCAAGAACAAAAGTCTAAGTCCACATTGATCTCTGTGGATACGATTGGACACCCCACTGTTATGAGTGCTACGTTCATGATGAATAGTAATGATCCATTTATTTTAATAACTTTAGGGGTGATTGATAGAATCTAATTTTACACAAGAAATGTCAGTTTGTAAGTTTTGAACATTTGGAAGTTAATTAAAATTGATTATTTAAGAGGTGGGCTTATTTGGAACATCCATGGGCTTAAAGGTTACATTCGGTATCAATAAGCCCAGTCCTGACTTTTCACATATTTTATCAAATATTTCAATATCTTATTAAAACATTTTGTAAGCAAAGTCATAAAAATTCACGAGAGATTAATCTTTCATTTTATCTCTACTTTTCATACAAAAAATTAGGGCACTATATTATAGAAAGGTCTAAAATTAGATTTTGGTGGTCTTAATAGGTACACTTACCCTACACCCCGGTTCTGTGTGTGGTTCTCACACCTGACGCATGCCTACATGGTTTTGCGCATGGTCAGGTCAATTTGAGTTCGTTTTTTTCAACATTCACTTTACATGTTGTGGCCCTGTGTGTCAATTACAGCCGGGAGTATGGCGACAAATGGAGAGGAGGCGAGTGGAGGAGAGGATGGGTCGGAGTCCGAGGTGGCTGAGCTTCGCCAGAAAGTAGAGTCGCTACAGCAAGAACTGAAAACCTGCAAAAAAGAACTGACCAAATTACAGAAACAACTGACCAAGTCTGAGAAGCTTCAGAAGAGCACAGAAGGCTACAATGAAGACTTGAGGAAACAGGTAGGCTAGCTACCAAGAATAATCTAGCCATCATTGAACAAGTCTCTGAAATGTACAAATGAGTGAATTTACAAGTGACGCTTATCATTTTTTATTTGACGTGATTTGATACAATAGGTCGACAAGCTGAGTGCAGAGATTCATGAACGAAAGGCGAAGGCGAAAGAGAAAGTGAGAGCTGAAGCTGAGACACAGACAGAAGAATATACTTGGTCAGAAACTGGTGAGCAATCATATTGTGTTTGGGTGGTTGTAAAATTAACACATTCTCATTTCCCAGGAACAGCAGTTTGTGATTGATCCAAATGATTTATTTGGTTTTATATTGCTCCACTCACATATACAGATACGTTGACCCTTGTCTGTGTGATTTCCAGATTATTACAACTACTACTATGGAGGAGGCTACTACCACGGTGATGGTGTGGCTACAGACACCCAGGGGATTGTGATAGCAGAGGGGCAGGAAGCCACTGATGCCTCAGAGATGACACCTGCAGAATCAACCACTAACACAGCTACGGACACGATTACAGACACAATGGCAGACACCGCCACAGCGACTGTTACAGAGGTGTCTGTAGAGGGTGGTATTGCTGCCTCTCAACCAGAGGTGAGTTTGAATACCGTCCCTCCACTCATTCTGTTCTGACTGAGGACAGTGAGGTCTCGGGTCTTCCAAAATAATCTACATCTTTATTTAAAGCTTCTCATTTCCCTAATACAGGACCATAATAACTCCTTCATGACGATGACGTCTATTTGGTGGGGCACAGGAAATACTAAAGGTTTTAGGTTGATGACAGTCCAAAAATGGTTTGGGAACTTGACTTTCTTTACTTGTGTTTGTTCCAGCAAGAGGTGGATGCAGGCTCTATAGCTGACATGCTGAGAGCCACTGCTGAACAGGCCATGACACAGACTGGCTTTGTGTTTGATGAGACCACCGGGATGTACTACGACCACAGCACTGGCTTCTACTACGACTCGGTACTAAACCACACACACACACACACACACACACACACACACGATCACTGTGCCATTATGTAACAGTCTTTTAATTGCATCATTTTCTCCCTCCCCTAGGCCAGTCAGTTGTACTATGATAACAACACAGGGATGTACTACTACTATGATGCAGAGAGTGGGAAGTACCAGTTCCACTCCAGGATAGAGGTCCCTACTGTACAGCCTGCCTCAGAGACCAACCAGGAGAAAAAGAGCCTGGACCAGAAAGGCAGGAAGTGGAAGAAAGTACCAGAGAAAGCCTCTCGTCAGAATGAAAAGGTAGGTGACCGGTACTAGAGATAAACCAGATAAGCTACAAGAGAGTTACAGCTAATTCTGGATTTATGTTCCTTTTAAATAATGATTAAGAAGGGATACTTGTTTTAACTAGCTACACATTTCTCATTGTTGTATAAAACTGACCTGTTATACTTACTGTTTTTGATTTGTGCTCATTGGCTGACCTGAGACATGAGGCTCCTGAAGCATCTCACCTTCAGAAGTTTAGTGATTGTAATGGACTTCTTAAGATTCATTTCAACCCTGATCTATGTGGTCTCAGTTTTCAAACATTTGCAGGAGTGGTTTTAGACTTTCTGCAGCTATGGTTTTGGTTATTTATCCTATAGCGTCTACTACATTTTCGTCAGGTACAGAGTTTTAGCTATTGCTTGTTGTCATTTAGTTGACTGAATGCTATTCCTCTGGTCGTAGGTAGAAGACGTGACTAACTCACTGGCTAACATGAAGATTTCCTATTTCTGGAACTCAGCTTCTCGTAGAGGTACACTTTTTACACTTCTCACATAAAACTGTTCTTAAACAGCAGACAGCAGAAAGACCCCATGCAGACATGAGGTATAGCCTACACTGCTTTAGTGCAACTGAAGGGCAGATTTCAGAGCTCAGGGATGTGGCTGCTTGGTCTAGTCAAGAGGAGGTTTTTGAGGATCACTTTTATTGTGTTGCAGCTTGAGTCAATAAATGGACTTTGCTGTGATGCAGTATAGGCGTGCTGTCTTTGAAACTGAGACCCATATATCCAAAAAGGATCCCTAAACAATGCAGAGAGGTTCTGATGCAGAGCCCACTGTCCAAATTCCTAGAAAGCCTCGTGTCCCGTGTCCGCCAATTTAGTTATCTGGAGATACTTCAGGTGAATCCTCCCTTCTGATTGGTTGCCTGTCTACTGACAGGGCCTTGTAAAGGAGCTGGAGCTTGAGGAGTGGATGGAGCGGCGAATCCCCAAGAGGGGCGTGGCCTCGCGCAGGCAGAGGGGGCGCTCTGTCACTCCAGACGCTCCTCCACAGAAGAAAAGCTCTTCAAAAACTCGCCGGGCGAAGAGCGCCGAACGCTCGCTAAAGAGGAAGAAGAGGAAAGACTGGTCGCGCTCTGATGATGCGAGCAGCTCGAGGAGGAAGAAGGCTAAGTCAGACAAACGCAGCAGCAAGAAGAAGGCAGCTGCGTCGTGGAGGGATGGCTTGCGTGGGCACAGCGAGCCTGAAGAGGGGGAGATCACAGAGTCAGAGGGAGAATGGAAGTCTACCTCTTCCTCCTCTTCCCCCCCTCCCACCAAAGACAGCTCAGAGTCAGAGATGGAGTGTCAGGAAGGTGAGAGGAGAGGAGGGACACCGTTTCTAGTTATTCAATCTGTCAACTTTTTCTTACTGTATAGCGTTCTATGCACTTTTCACTTGGGTTTCTTTAGAGGTGACGGCAGAATGAAACAATGCACTTTGAGTTAAGTCTAACACCACCTGATATTTGTTCATCTGTCTTCCTCAATGTTTCCTGTAGTTAAAGTCTCGCTCAGTATAATTGTCATGGCAGCGTATGTGATACTGTGTGTGTGTTCTGTCCCCAGTAGCTGAGGAGGTGTGGCCGCCCTGTGTGAGGGTGACAGTGGTCAGATCTCCTGTGTTACAGACAGGAACACTCTTCATCATCACGGCTGACTCTCCAGCCACCATTGGCAGGTGAGTACAGCACTACAGTCTCTGGGAGATTCTCAATTGGGAAAAAGTATGTTCTCTCCTCGACTCATCTCTCGTCCTTGACCCGGAAATTGATAAGTGGTCGAGGAGGGTATCCATTCGTTAGTAGGCGAGCGAAGGAGTCTGATCCCCTCCTCGATTTCCTACTTCAACAGAGGATTGTGTTTTAAAATACATCACACCCGCTTTGAATCAGCTGTTTTCTCGAGGGAGAAAAGCATGCACACATTTAAAAACGATTATCCTTTTAGCTATAAAATGTGTTGCACAACTAGCTAAATTAGTTTTTTTCACTTTACACATTTATTTTGAGATTCCACCCCTGTAAACGTCATTTGCCTGATGAACCACGAGTGGAGAAGGAGTCTCATTTTTTTCAGAGTTACCTTTGACCTTTTTCAAAAAGAGGCGAGGACGGAGAAGAGGAAAGCAAAACCAGTTAGGATTCTCCCAATTCTTTTGATTGAGTGGTCAGTTCATCGATTTAATCACAAGGGGGAGATGAGAGCTCAGATCAACACTTCTGAAATTGAAGTTGGAACTACCTCTGGCATTTTGAAGTACTGTTTTAACATAATTCTATATTTTCAGGGAAAAGGAAATGAACCATGCCATCAGAATATCTGAAATGGGAGTCAGTAAGGTATGGCAACATATTTCATTAATTTGCTTGATTCTGCTACATGCATTACAGGAAATCTGCCGGGCTTCAAATTAGATGTGTGTGTGTGTGTGTGTGTGTGTGTGTGTGTGTGTGTGTGTGTGTGTGTGTGTGTGTGTGTGTGTGTGTATGTATGTATAGTACGTATGTATGTATAGTACGTATGTACAGTTGAAGTCGGAAGTTTACATACACTTAGGTTGGAGTCATTAAAACTTGTTTTTCAACCATTCCACAAATGTCTTGTTAACAAACTATAGTTTTGGCAAGTCGGTTAGGACATCTACTTTGTGCACGACACAAGTAATTTTTCCAACAATTGTTTACAGACAGATTATTTCACTTATCATTCACTGTATCACAATTCCAGTGGGTCAGAAGTTTACATACACTAAGTTGACTGTCTTTAAACAGCGTGGAAAATTCCAGAAAATGATGTCATGGCTTTAGAAGCTTCTGATAGGCTAATTGACATCATTTGAGTCAATTGGAGGTGTACCTGTGGATGTATTTCAAGGCCTACCTTCAAACTCAGTGCCTCTTTGCTTGACATCATGGGAAAATCAAAATAAATCAGCTAAGACCTCAGAAAAAAAATTTGTAGACCTCCACAAGTCTGGTTCATCCTTGGGAGAAGTTTCCAAATGCCTGAAGGTGCCACGTTCATCTGTACAAACAATAGTATGCAACTTGTTTTTACATTCCAAAGTCTGTTAAAAAATAGTTTGCAAGAGTTGACTATGGACGACACAAAATTTTCACATGTTACGACAGATTATTTCACGTTTATTCACGATACAATCAGGGGTCAGAGTTACATAGCTCTAAGTGAATGTTTTAAGAAGGTTATGGAAATTCCAGAAAATGATGTATGGCTTAGAAGTTTGATAGGCTAATACAATATGAGTCAATTGGAGAACCTGTGAAATTTTAAATGGCCTACCTTCAAATCAGTGCTCATATTTTGACCCTGGAAAAATAAATAGTAAACTCTGAAAAAACTTGTAGACTCCACAAGTTGTTCATCTTGGAGAAGTTCCAATGCCTGAAGGTGCACTCAGGGATTTACAACAATAGTATTGCAAGTTCAAACGTGTTAAGTTGAGGTTGACGTTGGCTTTGGCAACTCGAACCTTCAGCTCCCCCACAGATTTTCTATGGGATTAAGGTCTGAGACTGGCTAGGCCACTCCAGGACCTTAATGTGCTTCTTCTTGAGCCACTCCTTTGTTGCCTTGGCTGTGTGTTTTGGGTCATTGTCATGCTGGAATAGCCATCCACGACCCATTTTCAATGCCCTGGCTGAGGGAAGGAGGTTCTCACCCAAGATTTGACGGTACATGGCCCCGTCCATTGTCCCTTTGATGCGGTGAAGTTGTCCTGTCCCCTTAGCAGAAAATCACCCCCAAAGCATAATGTTTCCATCTCCATGTTTGACGGTGGGGATGGTGTTCTTGGGGTCATAGGCAGCATTCCTCCTCCTCCAAACACGGCGAGTTGAGTTGATGCCAAAGAGCTCCATTTTGGTCTCATCTGACCACAACACTTTCACTCAGTTCTCCTCTGAATCATTCAGATGTTCATTGGCAAACTTCAGACGGGCCTGTATATGTGCTTTCTTGAGCAGGGGGACCTTGCGGGCGCTGCAGGATTTTAGAATTTTTTTACATTTTACATTTACATTTTAGTCATTTAGCAGACGCTCTTATCCAGAGCGACTTACAGGAGCAATTAGGGTTAAGTGCCTTGCTCAAGGGCACATTTACGTCATTTAGCAGACGCTCTTATCCAGAGCGACTCACAAATTGGTGCGTTCACCCTATAGCCAGTGGGATAACCACTTTACAATTTTGGGGGGGGTTTTTAGTCTGTACTATCCTCCGTGTAGTTCTGGGCTGATTCCTCACCGTTCTCATGATCATTGCAACTCCACGAGGTGAGATCTTGCATGGAGCCCCAGGCCGAGGGAGATTGACAGTTATTTTGTGTTTCTTCCATTTGCGACTAATCGCACCAACTGTTGTCACCTTCTCACCAAGCTGCTTGGCAATGGTCTTGTAGCCCATTCCAGCCTTGTGTAGGTCTACAATCTTGTCGCTGACATCCTTGGAGAGCTCTTTGGTCTTGGCCATGGTGGGGAGTTTGGAATCTGATTGATTGATTGCTTCTGTGGACAGGTGTCTTTTATACAGGTAACAAACTGAGATTAGGAGCACTCCCTTTAAGAGTGTGCTCCTAATCTCAGCTCGTTACCTGTATAAAAGACACCTGGGAGCCAGAAATCTTTCTGATTGATTGAGAGGGGTCAAATACTTATTTCCCTCATTAAAATGGAAATCAATTTATAACATTTTTGACATGCGTTTCTCTGGATATTTTTGTTGTTATTCTGTCTCTCACTGTTCAAATAAACCTACCATTAAAATTATAGACTGATAATTTCTTTGTCAATGGGCAAACGTGCAAAATCAGCAGGGGATCAAATAATTTTTTCCCTCACTGTAAATATAGATATATATATTTTTTTATCCCAGTTTCATGCAGAAGTGTACTTTGACCAGGACCAACAGTGCTACATGCTAGTGGACCAGGGGAGCCAGAACGGAACTGTCCTCAATGGCAACCGAATCCTACAGGTGGGTCAGACACACACACACACACACACCTTGGTTGGAAAGTGAGGTAGTAACAGTATTGATTTCACTGCCCTCAGCCCAAAGCTAAGTGTGACCCTTGCCCTCTGACCCATGGGGATGAGGTGAAGATGGGAGAGACGGTTCTGTCCTTCCACATCCACTCTGGGACAGACACCTGTGACGGCTGTGAACCTGGACAGGTCATGGCTCACCTCGGCAAACACCAGAGAAACCAGCCGGTACAGACAGGTACAGAACACACCTGATGAATTTGCGTAAACAAATGTGTTGCATCCATCTCTGTATGTTGTCTGTGTAAGACTAATGCAATGCTCACACACCTAGCTACCCATGCCACACACAGCATGATTATTAGTGTAACTAATGCTACAGCCCTGTTTATAACTTTCCAGGTGTGTTGTTCCTCAGGTCCAGCTCCAACCAAAGAGGACAAGGAGCTGCTCAGACAGAAAGAACTGAAACAGATGAAGGTCAAATATGGCCTGAAGGTAAGTGACTGGTTCATCCACCACCACTACAACTTCATCTGTTGTCCCCTTCTGCTGTTATGTTAATCAGTGATGAATAATTCCCATTGGTAATCCTTTGTTGAAATTGTCCTTGCCAATCAGATCCTGGCCTACCTTCTCTGTGTATAAAGTACAAAGTTATTAAACTGTTCTGTTTTTGCTCATCTCATATCTTGTTGACATGTACGTTGCTAGAGACTGAGCAGTCCCATAGCTTATTAACCTTATTTGCTTGTCGCTAACAGAGCAGTTAATATGATATTACTATTTATAAACTGGGTGGTTCGAGCCCTGAATGCTGATTGGCTGACAGCCGTGGTATATAAGACCGTATACCACGTATGACAAAACATTACGTTGGTAACCAGTTTATAATAGCAATAAGGCACCTCAGGGGTTTATAGTAAATGGCCAATATACCACGGCTAAGGGCTGTATCCAGGCACTCCGCGTTGCGTCGTGCGTAAGAACAGCCCTTAGCCGTGGTATATTGGTCATATACCACACCCCCTCGTACCTTATTGCTTAAGTATATAACTGTGTTGAGGAAGTGTCTCCCTCTGTCCCAACAGAGCACTGAGTATGAGGAGACCAAAGCCCTGAAGAACCCCAGGTATGTTGACAGGGCCGAGTCTCGTCGTCAGACCGTGGGCAGCGAGGGAGCCTTCCAACGTGACGACGCACCCGCCTCCGTTCACGTGTACGTAGCAATCTGATTGGTTCAGTTGATGCAAGTGTGTGTGCACAAATGTGCATGTAAGTAGAAATAACTAGTAGTTACCACATCCTGGTCTGAGGTTGACTCTGAGTCGTTGCAATGTGCACTTGTTTCCCCTGTTTCTCTCCTGGTACAGTGAGATCAGTGAAGTCAACAAGGGAAGGAAGATGCTGGAGAAGATGGGTTGGAAGAAAGGAGAAGGCCTGGGCAAAGATGGAGCCGGAATGAAAGACCCGGTAATCTTAACATTTTCCCTTTCTATTGGGATTTCCCTGTTTTCAGAGATTTGTCCTATTTAACTAAATGGCTATATTTTAAATTGACCAAACCTCAAACAAATATCCTCCACTTCATTTTAGTGGTTTCATCCCAGTTCTTTCCCACTATGTTCACACATCTGATCAGATTTTCCCCACCATTCCGGTTTTCCCATAGATCCAGCTGAAGATCCGGAAGTCTCAGTCAGGTCTTGGGGCGGGAGTTGCTGTGTCGGTGGACGAGGCTGGGTCTCTGAGCAGGACCAAGACCCAGAGGAACTGGGAGAAGGCCAGGGAGAGGTTTAATGACACCTGCCAGCCAGACACACCCACAGTCAAGAAGGAGCAGGGCCCAGTGCCCAAACCTTGGGTTAAAGGAGAAGTGACTGAGTGACATCCTAGGCCAATGTTTCTCAACAGTTCTAGTCTGTATCTCAGAAAGGCCGGTCGCCCAATCCACCATGGAGAAGTGAGTAGTTGACTGGTCACAGACACACAGAGTGGCCTAGTTCCAATATATTTACTGACTGAATCCACTTCTTGGAATGAGGATGGAGTGGAATGAGAATGGTGCTGGTACTCACTTAGATGTTATTCCAACTTGCACTAAAGTAGGATATCTCCATCTTTCCAGTTATTTTATAACTGTGCAGTCCTTTTTAGAACTGTGCAGTGTCAACCCTAAAGGTGTGTGGTTAGGAGGAAGCAGAATTGGATTCATCGAAATTCTGCACTGTATTTTATTTTAAATTGTAAAAAGAATTAAGATGCATAAAGCAACTGTTTGTTTGTGGGATGCCAGCGGAATCTATCAGCTATACAATCATGCCTAAGAAATGTTGCTTTGATTTGGTCTTCAGTACAAGAGGTGTCATTGTTGTAGGCCGGTATTTCATTTCAATAAAAACGTTAGTTACCTGTACATGCACTTTTCCATGGCCATAACAAGCACCCACGTGAGAAACGCCGGCACTAGGACTGCACGGATGGACTCCTGTTGCCCGGCTGAAGCGGAGCCGAAAAAGTTCCTCTGAAGTTATAACCGTTTTTAAAAGATCGCCAATTTTTCGGGTCCTCCGCCATCCATCCCTCAACTCGATGGACAGAACGACCGAGAACCGCGGATGCAGCTTCTCGCGTTTGTAGACAGGAATTATTCATCCCAACGTTTTACCACTCGTAAAGGACCTAACCCTGGTTCAAGACATGAGTCGGACTTCGACAGAAGAAAGTGAATTGTTCAATGGACCGCAAAAGGTAAGGCAACTGTAAACCGTTAATACTGATGAAGAGAAAACATGGTCTCTCTCTTGCACTCGAGTTGTAATCCAGAAAACGTTCATGGAAAATGCATTTATGGATAGAGGTGCAGGCCAACCTGATTAGGTTATTTTTATTCTCTCATTTAACTTAAACCCATCAAGTAGGCTATGGAATTTTATAGAGGTCTACCATGAATGGCCCTTGATAAGCAACTTTGCTGAATTTTAATGTGTTCTATTTTTATTATGTAAGGTTATATATGTTACTATAGGTAGCAGGTAGCCTAGAGCGTTGGGCCAGTAACCGTAAGGTTGCTTTTTTGAATCCCCGAGCCGACTAGGTGAAAATCTGTCTATGTGAGCATGGCAGTTTACCATGATTGCTCCTGTAAATCGCTCTGGATAAGAACATCTGCTAAATGACTAAACTGTATGTGCTGAACCATAATTATTGGTGCAGAGAGGTAATCTTGCCGGCAGGGGGCAGCATTCTGAGTAAGTAAGGTGAACCTACTGAAATGTGAATGAGTCTAGCAATAGAAACTGTATGTTCCTTCCAGGTTATATGGTTGTATTAAAAATAAGGACACATTTGAAGGTCTTAATGTGTGGATGTAACCCCACTGTTACACTTTATAACCTGGATATAATCAGATCATAGGACACTATTTGGTTCAAATCAGATTAAAGGAATCATGCAGTGTCCAGCGTTTCCCCACTGTGCCAAGAATTTGATTGTTTTGTCCTTGGTACTGTTTGATTTATAGTATGTCTAAGCTAGTTGCCAGGCAATAGGCACTTCATGGCTCAAAAACATCCAGAGTTTTTTTCAACGACTCAAGTCCCAGAACACTAATCATGTGTACAAAACCAAACAAGTCAAGTAAGTAATAAATATCAAATGTGACCTTTGGACTTTAAAGGTGCAGGCTATTCTGTATTCACCTACACACACACACACATATAGATAGCTTAGATTCCCCAACACTTCCTCCTCAATCAATTAATGATTGGATTTATGGAGTGTGTTTCCAGGAGCTCACAGTGCAAATTCTGTTTAGGTTTCCAACAGCTTTCCAGTAGTCCAAATTCAAATCAAATGTTATTGGTCGCGTACACATATTTTGCAGATGTTATTGCGGGTGTAGCGAAATGCTTACGTTCCAAGCTCCAACAGTGCAGTAATACCTAACAATAAAAAACACGCAAAACCCATATTTCTTTTATATATATAAAGGCATTAAGAAATATTAGAATGTGCAATGTCAGAGTCCGGAATATACATGTATTTGTATATGATGGTGTGTATAGACATTATGGACAGTATATAAAAAGAAAAGGTGTGTACTAGAATACAGTAAATACATATGAAGTGAATTCCATTGCATCCGGCTTAGTGCACACACTGACAAGACAGTCGCAAGTTGTTGCATTTATCAGTACAGTGACAGTTTCAGTACAGTAGCAAGTATAACTGTACCACTGTTGTTCATGCTCCCATTTACATCGACGGGGCTGTAGTGGAGCGGGACGGGAGCTTCAAGTTCCTCAGTGTCCACATCACTAAGGATCTATCATGGTCCAAACACAAAAACACAGTTGTGAAGAGGGCACGACAACGCCTCTTCCCACTAAGGAGGCTGAAAAGATTTGGCATGGGCCCTCAGATCCTCAAAAAGTTATACAGCTGCACCATTGAGAGCATCTTGACTGGCTGCATCACCACTTGGTATGGCAACTGCTCGGCATCCGACCGCAATGCGCTACAGAGAGTACTGCGTAAGGCCCAGTACATCACTGGGGCCAAGCTCCCTGCCATCCAGGACCTCTATACCAGGTGGTGTCAGAGGAAGGCCGTAAAAATGATCAAAGACTCCAGCCACCCAAGTGGTACAGGAGTGTCAAGTCTGTGACCAAAAGGCTCCTGAACAGCTTCTACCCACAAGACATAAGACTGCTGAACAGTTAATCAAATGGCTGCCCAAACAATTTATATTGATCCTCTTTATTATATATTTGTTTATCTTAATTGTTTTGCACTGACTCTCTTGCACTGGCTCTATGCACACTCACTAGACTACCCACACTCCAACACACACAGATACACACACTACATACGCTCACACACACATTCATATTGACGCCACACATACACTCACACAGACACACTTTCACTCTCTTCACATGCGCTGCTGCTACTCTGTTTATTATATATCCTGATTGCCTAGTCACTTTTACCCATACCTACATGTACATGCTGTCTTACCTCAATTACCTCAACTACCTTGTACCTCTGCACATTGACTCGGTACTGGTACTCCTTGTACACTACATTACCAAAAGTATGTGGACACCTGCTCATCGAACATCTCATTCCAAAATCATGGGCATTAATATGGAGTTGGTCCCCCCTTTGCTGCTAATACAGCCACTCTTCTGGGAAGGCTTTCCACTAGATGTTGGAACATTGTTGCAGGGACTTGCTTCCATTCAGCCACAAGAGCATTAGTGAGGTTGGACACTAATGTTGGGCGATTAGGCCTGGCTCGCAGTTGGCGTTCCAATTCATCCCAAAGGTGTTAGATGGGGTTGAGGTCAGGGCTCTGTGCAGGCCAGTCGTTGTTGCTCCTAGACGTTTCCACTTCACAATAACAGCACTTACAGTTGACCGGGGCAGCTCTAGCAGGGCAGAAATGTGACAAACTGACTTGTTGGAAAGGTGCCATCCTATGACGGTGCCACGTTGAAAGTCACTGAGTTCTTCAGTAAGGCCATTCTACTGCTAATGTTTGTCTATGGAGATTGCATGGCTGTGTGCTCGGTTTTATACACCTATCAGCAACGGGTGTGCCTGAAATAGCCAAATCCATACATTTGAAGGGGTGTCCACATACCTTTGTATATATAGTGTATATGGTCTCGTTATTCTTATTTTATTGTGTTACTATTTCCTTTTTTATTTAGCAAATATTTGTCTTACTTTTTAACTCTGCATTGTTGGGAATGGGTTTGTAAGTAAGCATTTCACGGTAACGTCTACACCTGTTGTATTTGGCGCATGTGACCAATACGATTTGACTTGATTTGACTAGACCGTCATACTTTCCTCTTTCATTTCACATTTTAGTCATTTTAGCAGACGCTTTTATCCAGAGCGACTTACAGTTAGTGAGTGCATACATTTTTCATACTGGCCCCCCGTGGGAATCGAACCCACAACCCTGGCGTTACAAGCGCCATGCTCTACCAACTGAGCTACACTGGGCTTTCGTACATGTCACTGATGTGTCATACTCTATGGGAGATATAATGTAAACACCTGTTGCCATGGTGAGAGAGTGTGTCTACTCTGCCACTGTGCATGATGGTGTGTGGGAGCCACACTGAGGGAAGCCACAACCTATAGGACAGAAAGAATGTAAATCATACTAGCCTTGGATGTCTATTGGTTGTTATGGAAAAACGGTTTATATTCTTGGTTTGCACCAATAGAATCAAGATACCAGATCAACTACATTATGGACCTTGATTTACACATCACTTCACAATTTCTCTGTTTTGCTCCTATAATCTACCTACATGTGAGTATGTGCGACGCGACGTGTGACACGTGTTTGTGTGCGTGCATGCATGTGTACATGCAGTGGTGTAAAGTACTTAAGTAAAAGTACTTTAAATTACTACTTAAGTAGTTTTTAGAGTATCTGTACTTTACTATTTATATATTTGACTACTTTTACTTTTACTCCACTACATTAATTCCTAAAGAAAAGAATGTGATTTTTACCCCATATGTTTTCCCTGACACCCAAAAGTAGCCTACTCGTTACAATTCGAATGCTTAGCAGGACAGAAACATTTTCAAAATCACGCACTTTTCAAGAGAACATTCCTGGTCATTCCTACTGCCTCTGATCTGGCGGACTCACTAAACACAAATGCTTTGTTTGTAAATTATGTCTGAGTGTTGGAGTGCGCCACTGGCTCTCCATACATTTTAAAAACAAGAAAATCGTGCAGTCTGGTTTGCTTAATATATGGAATGTGAAATGATTTATACTTTTACTTTTTATACTTAAGTATATTTTAGCAATTACATTTACTTTTGATACTTAAGTATATTTAAAACCAAATACTTTCAACTTTTACTCATGTATGTATTTTACTGGGTGACTTTCACTTTTACTTGAGTCATTTTCAATTAAGGTATTTTTAATTTTACTCAAGTATGACAATTGGGTACTTTTTCCACCACTGTGTGCATGCATGTTTGCGTGCTATGTACACTCTAAGCAGTCTGAAGTTCAGACTGCTTAGTGTCTCTGAAGTGATGCGTTTTCTTTTCATGTAATTCATTTGATGTTGAATACATGCTCTCTGTCCGCCAAGAACATTTCACAGCTTTTGGACCAAATGTCATCCAATTTGAATGGGTTAGGACAGGTTTATTGCTTTTTTGGTTATTTGTATAGGTATTAGCCTTAGACACTAATCTAAGGTTATCTTTCATTTTATTTTTCCTGTAAATGGTTCAGGGTAGGATACTTAGGTAAGCTGGTCCAAGATCTGTGTAAAAGGTCAGCTGCTGCCTGGAGATGTTATTGTGGATTTATCATATGAAACACACACACGATCTCTCTCACATGTACTCTCTCTCTCTTT